ATAGACAAAGCATGTCCCCTTTCACCTTCCATCTCCCTCCAGAGGCTAACACTTTGACAGCACCTCTTGACTACCAAGCTGGGGCAGATTCAACTGTCTTCTCACCAATCTTAGTTGCATCGGAGACAAGCAATGCCAGGTCACTGAAGAAGTGCTCCTGGACTCTAATCCAGTGCTAGCTGAATTTATCTAAGTAATAGGAGACACAGCTATAAACAAAGGCCAGGATTCAAGGGACAATTATCCAGGTGCCAGACACAAAAAGTCTTTGGTTCAAATAACAGACATGTCCTTAGAGAAGAGATATGTCACCATTGTCTGAAAATTATCTTATGATTTAGAAGAAGACTGCGATGTATAGACAAATCAAATAAAAAATTATTTTTGGATCATCCATTACAATTCTCTATCAGGTCTCCTATTTTTTCAGGCATTACCTTAACATCAAAGGTCATGTAATCTATCTACCCAACAGTTAGTGGCAGGGCTCAAAGCTGAATCAAGAGGCCTAGTTTTCCACTGTCCTCCCAAAAGTTCAGAGAGCAGATGCCCTGTGATTTGTACAAATATACGAACACATAAGACTCTGATGTGGTTTATGACAAACAGTGGCTTGAGAGGGAACAGGTACACAACCAAGGTGAATCTGAAATGCTCCGCCCATATTCCTGACTACATTTCACCTACTAATTATATACTTTATAAACATATTGAGCGAAGGTAAATGGTTATACAGAAAGAGAGAATGGGGAAAAGTATAATAAACTACAGGATATTTGCACAACCACAATACTAAAAGATTTGACATATAGTTATTCTCTTAGGTACCCTGAGGTTAACACGTAATACCCATTCAACTAAGCCTCTATAAACAGCTGGGTTTTCCGCAATCACAGCCACTATTCCCACTTCAGTGGGTAGCAGTGTTCAGAGAAAAGCCAGATTTAGCTCCTGTGTAATAAACCCCAGAAACCAAAAGAGCTAGGAAAGCTGTTTATGTCTATGCCCACCAGGAACTCTTCTCTGCTATAACCGCATGAATGAACTGGTGAGAATGGGAGTCAACAAAGCTTCAAGACAGAGGTTAACTAGGCGTTCCCCTCCACCTGCTCCTGGTTTTTTCAGTTAAGAGTTTTTGGCAAGATAGGTTAATGAGCCGGGCGCGGTGGCTCAAGCCTGTAATCCCAGCACTTTGGGAGGCCGAGGCGGGTGGATCACGAGGTCAAGAGATCGAGACCATCCTGGTCAAC